TAATCAACTACCTGTACCATTCCAGTAAATACCTGACTCCTCATGCTATCTTCTACCTTTATAAGATGCAGATCAGACCGAAAATGGAGTACTGCTGCCATAATTGGGAAGGAGCTTCCCAATCCTCACTTTCCTGAGTCCTTGTTGAAGGAGAATTATTTTCTACCCTCCAACCTCTCACTCACAGGCAGGATGTGGTGTACCTCTCACTGCTTTATTGCTACTTCCATGGAAAGTGTTCTGATGAACAACATTCCTTGGTTCTGCCAGGCCAAACCTTCACGTCTAGGATCCACCATGCCACTTACATTGTAGCAAACTTCCCATATTCCTTCTGTTTTCCATCAGTGAGAAGTAACAAACAGCTTTTTCCCACAAACCATTGCTATATGGAACAGACTCCCAAGAGGATGTTTCCCCAATCACTTCAATCTTAACTAGTTCAAGTCTAGAGTTAACCATTATCATCTCCTTGAATTCATATAAACTACCTCTTAACATAACCCTCTACCTTGAGTGACCCCCGAGCCTTGCACAGGGCGAACTTTATTGTAAAAAAAGAAAAATTATATTTAATGATCTTTTTGTTTTAATGTACGAGTATACTTTCACAAATGTGGTTGTTGTATGGATAAATAAATTAGACATTATTTTTGTACAAATATTTACAAGTAAACTACTAAAATCATCTAAAAAGGATTTACAAAGCAATGTTGTCAAACTTTATGACATTGAAAAATACAAGCATTGAGTTTCAGAAGCAAAAAGGTTATTTGATGAAAGTGATTAAAAAAGGGAAAAAAAATCACGTTTAAAAGCCACTGATCCCACATGCAATTTGAAATAACTTCTTTGCTTGATTTGCCCTAATAAAAATATCTCAAATGAAAAAACTGATGACATGATTAAAAACAATGCCAATTTGGCGACAATGTTGACAATTTGTAAGTTGTTTTGATCTGATTGTGCCAGACTCCAATCTTGATTGGAGGCAAAAAATATAAACAATATGCCAGCCTTATCAAAATATGCATCAGCTGATATGCACAAAATAAAATATGCAGTTTCACATCTAAACACAATATGCACATTTTATTTTCATTTGCTTAACATTACATCATTAGAATATATATATATATATATATATATATATATATATATAGTCAATCCAATTTTATTAAAATTAGCTGACAAGGCCTATCTGTTGAATTTTTTATCACATTTTTTAATTTGGCACATAAATTGTCACACATCCAAATCAATTTTATGAAGAGCCTTCCCAAAAGTTTACAATGTTTTGATTTGAGTACGTTCAATCATCTCTAGGCTTTATCAGGAATGTTAATGTTATCAATGCCATAGAGAAAAGTTTTTATTACCTTCATTTTAGGCATTTAAAGAATGTTACATTCTTAAGTTAAATATACATGTCAAAAAGGCTTTGTATGAGAGAGAGGAGAGTCCTACTAGAACTTGAAGTCACTCCCCTTGATCTATAGCTTCATTACTCAATCTAGCAGGATGTGCAGGTGGTCTAATAGATAATGGCTCAGAATTGTTAATCAGAGAGCCAAGTTCCAAATCCAGTGGCCATGGGGTCACATAACCAATCAAATTTTCTGCTTTAGAGGTGAAATATATTTTTGTAGATATTTCATGTTGAAACTCCAGTTCCCCTACAATCACCAAAGTTAAGCATCATCAAGCTTGGTCAGTATCTAGATAGGTGACACCCATTTGGGAATACCAGGTACTGTAAGCTTGGATGTGTGAGACTGTAATGGATAATGGCTCAGAACTGTTAATCAGAGAGCTGGGTTCCAATTCCAGTCAGGTTCATTATATTCACTTATATACAAATACCCTTGGGAAAGGTATGGATCCACCACTTCTCCCTCTTCCAGCTATGGGTTAATTAGTAAAACTTGCATCACTAAATAATTATCTTTAAAAAAAATTCTTTAAATGAACAGATATTTCCAAAAATTATCGCCCAAAAAAAAGAATTCTTGCAACGTAAAAACATTTCCTGGCTTTAAATAACCTACAAAGGATTGATAAGCTATAGAAAACAAATCAATCAATCTAGCACCCTAACATATACAGTGATATTGACCCCCAAGATCCTACAGGAAAAAGTGAAATGCCATGAAATATCATTTACTGTTCACAATTCTCAGGGCCATTGAATATGGTGTCCATCTGTGGTGTCCACAGAGAACCTTTCGTTATTCCTCCTACTAAACCAGTCACTTTAAAGACACTGCCACTCTCCTAATTGTTATGGTTAGCAGTTTACAGTCCATATTCTGCCATACATTTACATAAATTCATTAGGTATGTTACTTGCTGTTTCCCTCTGCTCTTTTTGTCTTAAATATGTACTGTCAATGTCAAATTCTTCAAGCCATCTTTCCTCATTATGCATCCCAGAAATTTCAACTGTCTCTTTCTAAATCTAAATGTCCTTGTTGTTTCATTAAAACTTCCTCAATTCTCACATGTACCCTCCATAGTATTCTCAGCATCCTTCTGTAGAATCACATCTCTGTTATCTCAAGTCACTTCTTTATCTGTAGGAAATTTTCTTGCAGACACTGCCATATAGGAAGATTGATATTATGTAACAGCTGAGCCCTCTTGCCTTTGTTTCCAACCAATTTTCAGCAAACACAAAGAAATGTGCCTACAATAAGACATAGTTTCAAAAGGACAGTTTCTTCCATGACACTGCTTTTTTAACTACCTTCACTCCCTCAGCAATGTTTATTGTTTTAAAAAGTGATGATTAGAATTGGAATAAAAGCTAAACATGATGAAAGTGAAGTTATACATTTTTTTTGTTCTTTAGAATTTGCAACAAAAATATTAAACACTATTTATTTATTAGATTGGTTTATTTACAAGAATTTTATATTTACAACATAAAACTAATGCAATATTTATCATTTACCAATTTATAAAGAAATAAATGTAAAAGTGATGTTTCATTCATAAATTTATAAACATTTACTACTTTATTAAATATGTGAACCAACTCTAAGGAAATCCTTATTATTTACCATTTTATAAACTTTGAATCAATTGGCAATTAGTTGACATTTTGCCAATCATTCCATTAAATAATATAATAAATAAATATTGTTATTATTTTTGTTGCCAGTTCTCAAGAACAAAGAAAATATATAAATTCACTTTCATATATTTAGGCTTTATTACAATTCTAATATTTGTTTTTGAAAATAATAAACATTGCCAAAGAGGTAGGTAAAATAAAAGCTGTCTCATGGGAAAAACCTCTTATTGCAAGCACATTTCACTAAGTTTTCCAAATTTTCTTGTTTCTTAATACTTTGTTTAGTTCCTGAAAGACATCTTTTGCTATTCCAATGCATGTTCAGATTTCTTTATCATATTTTCTATTATCTGTTATTATTTCTTCCCAGATAGTTACATTTCTGTACTTGATTTATTTTGACGTCTCTAATTTGTAACTTGTATCTTGGAGTGTACTTCTTGCTAATGACCATACACTCTATCTTTTTATAATTGATGGTTTGTCCATTCTTCTTGCTTTCCTTTACTACTTTGTCTAGAAGTACCTGCTGTGACTGCCATCAATATGGTATCATTTGCCTATCATATGTTGTTATGTTTGTGCCTATCTATAATAAATCCTGGTAGGACATCTACTTCTTTTAAGATCACCTTTCTGTACAGGTTAAATAAATCCTGGTTTTACACATCTTTCTATTTTTGCTTACTTCAACTCATTTTCTATCCATATGCAGGCAGTTTGTTCCCAGTAAATGTTCTGGATTTTTTCATCTTTCCCAAATAAATGAATCTTTTCTAGCAATTCAAACAGATCCAATGTGTGGCATCATACCAAATGCTTTTACTGTGAGTCTGTGAAATATAGATACAGGTTTTATACATTTGTATTGCTTGCTCTGATATCATTCTGATCATAAAGATAGCATTTCTTGTTCCAGTATCAGTAATGAAGCCACACTACACTTGTCCTATTTCTAGTCTAATTCTGCTATGTGCTCTATTCTTCAGAATCCAGGTTATAAGCAAAAGAAAAAACAAAACAAAAAGGTGCAATTATGCAAATAGAACGCTCACACCTTCCATCCTCTCCAAACTTTTCGAACACTGATTGAACCAGTCCTACTGTATGGATCAGAAACTTGGACATTATCTGTTCATCTTGAAAGACAACTAGTTGGTACATATATAAATCTACTTAAAAAAATCAAGAACATCAGTTGGAAATCCCATGCAATGCTTAACAAAATTTACTGAGAACTGAGATCAATCTCTCTTAAACTCAAACAAAAGTGATTGCAGTTTGCCAGCCACTACCACCAAGCTGACGGGGATGATGTCTCATCATTACTTCTTTGGCATCCTTCTCACAAAAGTTGACATTCCCAGACACCATGGCTCAGGGTTAGACAGTGGGATTCTAGGGACAGCAATGCAGTATCAAGCAGTGTGGAAAGGGATTTTTAATGGAATTCTGACCAACCACAGGGAGGTCAAAGCATGATTTCAAAGTAATTTCGATTCGCATTATATTTTTTTGTCTCAGATGCTACCTGAATTTTACCAAAAACAAAAAAAATTTCCATGCCTGATGATGACTGGAAGTACTGTCAAAAGTACTTGCGTATTTAAGGGAGACCTATTACAGCTTATACTTTTAAAAAACAAGGATCATAACATTCATCAAGTGATTGATAGGTTAATGAATCTTTAAAATTTAGTTAGCAAAGGAATTTTGCCATTTTATATCATTAACTTTACTAATTTACTTTTTGTATGAATGATTCATTGTAATATATATTGATCTTCACCATATATTTGATATATATATATATATATATATATATATATATATATATATATATATATATATATATATATATGGAAAAAAAGTTTTCATTTTAAACTGACACCAAGAGTATCTGGTTTGAAGACATTTTACCTACCATAGCTTTCACAAATAAGCTCCTTATACTTTCGTCCAGAATTTGCAATATGCTGAAGACATTTTAATGATTTGGCTTTGTTGATCTCAGTCACCTGTTTCAGACTAATGATATCAAGCAGTGTCAAGATTCCACCAACTTCAATAAATTCAGTCATAAATCTGTGTCTGAAACATAAGAAAGCTTAAGATTTTAATTGATTGCATTAAATTGAACATTTTAAAAAATTAGTATTTTCTTCATCTAACATACAAAAGGAAAACTGCTTGTGTCTCTGTAAAAGACAGGCTTAATCTCCTAAGTGTATTTTCAATTATAAGACTGTAGCATCAGTGTAAATATTAAAAGGGAAAATAATAATAATCCTAGAATGGAAGAGTGCCTATCAAACCAAAATGACAATGTTAGGAAAATCAATAACAAAGTGGAAAAACTTTTTCATGTGACACATTTTGTCTTTTAGAACTTCATTGAACTAAAGTGATGTTTCTGCTGATGGAACTACACATATGCATGAAGAAGAGGGGACATTGAAATTTTAATCTTTTAGATTTGATTCTTTTTTTTCAATATGTATTTAGGTATAAAGTCTACCCAATTTCATTAAGTTTCTTTTTCTTTTTGTTTATGCTTTTATCAATTTTGTTTTTAAATATCCCACATTGTGAAAATAGAAGATCTGCCAGGAAATCTGAAATGTTGTACGAACCTGGACATGAATTTACTGTGGATTATCTAGCAATTAAAACAATTTCCATACACTTTCATATTAGCAAATTGCTTTCTCTTTGGCTACACTATATAACAAAACAAACATTTTTCTAAATTTCAGCATCCCCTCTCCTTCATGAACATGTATAATAACATCAATGTAAATGTTATTTGAGTCCAATGAAGTCCCAAAGGATGAAATGTGTCACACAAAATATTTTTGTCATTAATTTTCCTTATATATATATATATATATATAAAGGGTGTTCCAATAACTTGGAACGATTTCAATTGTGAATTAAGTTTAAGCATCTAATGATTTTTTTTTTCTTTCAGATTTAACAACTTAAGTCTTTGCCAATTTCAAACATGGAAAGATTTATATATATATATATATATATATATATATATATATATATATATATATTGTGCAGCCTCATTCCTAATAGCTGTTACACATGATGTCACACTAGACCATTTCAGACATCCAGCTTCACAAAGAATACCAGGATGCAGACAAAGGAATTATAACTAACAGATACCATAGTGGTTCCTGATAATGACTATGAAAATCAAAAGTATTTGTTTCAGAATGATTTGGATTTTGTGTACTTCATTCAGTTTATATAAAATGTACAAGATGTATAAATATTATGATATTTTCATTACATATCAGAAGAAATTATTTGTTGATACACATAAACTGATTTAATCTGTACTGCCAAAAAGTATGTCATCAGTTTCATAAATTTTTGTCAGGTTTTTAGTTTCATTTTGGAAATATGAGATTAGCTAAAACATGGCTGCATTCTCTCAGAGAATTAAACTTGTTTTTACAATTATCAGTATTTAAACATTAAATATGGTACAAGAACTGTGATCATTACCATTTTGAATAAGAATAATTTTTGAATTAAGAAAACCATTAGAACCTAAACGTAAATTTATATATATATATATATATATATATATATAATGAATCTGACAATTATTTACAATATTTTTTGTTTATACATTATTTTTATAGATACAATTTATTTAAGTAAATGCTATGTTTTTTAATTAAACAGTATTAATTACATTTACTAACTTGAATGTTTAAGAAATTTCATAGAAAATATGCGTTGTCTGATAGGAATAGAACCTGTATTCCTATATAGAAACTGTCATTTGGCTTGATGTGCTGTACCATTCAGCGACAGAGAAGTATTTGCTGAAAAAAATGTATGCATAATAATATATAAGCAGAAAATATATTATATATATATATATATATATATATATATATATATATATATATATGTCCAAACATGTTTGATTAAAAGGAACCAACTAGGTCCATCTGTTTAATTTTTACTATATTTTTTCAATTTTCAGATAAGGTGTTGATTGGCCAAGCATGGTGAGTATGGCTACATCCCTGAAGACATGGTCAGTCAGGGGAGGGTTCCTCCAACAGTGAGAAAGACCATGTGGATATAGATTTGGATCCAAGTCAAGTTACCTTTAACCATGGAGTCAATATATACCACGTGAATTCCAGCTGATAATAGCTGTGTTTTATTTTTTTTTTTTCTGTTTTAATTTCTGGGATAAGTAGTTATTTATATTTTTTACATTCAGACTAATGTCCTCATCTGTATTTTCATAAATGGAAACTCATGACCTTTTCATATTTCCACATTGTATGATTCATCCAGGTCTTGTTAAATTCTGCTTTATTCTCAGTGTCCTAAAGAATGTCCTTCACATTGAAGCTGATCTTTCTTCCAATGACTTTGAAAAATCGTTTCCCTGACAATGCCCTGCTCTTACCACTACTCTTTGTGCTCTCCTGGAACTGGCCAATATCTTTGTTGATAAACCTGGTGGAACTAGTTTTAGGTCCCTACATCTATATAGGAATGTCAGTTAGTTTGACATCCATGCCAACAGAGTTTGACAGAATTTTTTTTTTTTCAAACACCTCCATTGGTACATCATTTCCAGGCTGTACCAATTCAAATGTTTGCCTTTGATCAGTATGGTTGATGCTAACCTCCAGGAGAGTAAATGATTGCGTCATCTTCATCTAACATTTTCCACTAACATGAAATTGTTAAATGTAACTGTAAGTTCTATTTTGATGATTTTTCTTCTGTAGCACTTCTTGCCTGTAGAACTCTTTTCCAACTTCTTGCATTCCTGCCAACTACAATCTTCAAAAATTTAAAGGCAATGCTAATCATCATCTTCTGTCTTTTACTGTTCTATTATTGCCCTCTTTCCGCAATAACATTTTCTCAGTTTCTTTCACTCTCAGTAATCCCTTGTGGCTCAGTGGCTTTATCACCTTGTCTGGGGTGAAATGATTAAAAAAAAATTTTGTCTGAATTTTTAGGATCAAAAGTTATCATTATTTACACTTGGACTAATATCCTCATCTTTCTTGTTATTTTCAATGGTGATAATAACAACAAAGATGAGGACATTAGTCCAATGTAAATAATGTAAATAATATCTGCTTTTATTAAAAATAAGGTTACAAGTATGGGGTAGTCAGAGAGGATTGAACACACTACTCATTAGTAATGGTCAACCAGACTAGCCTAAGCACTAACCACTCCCCCATCCTTAGTTTACAGATGGAACTGAGGAGAATCAACAGACTGACATTTTTCAACAGATGTTACAACAAAAGTGCAAGAGCCTTCTCAAATTTATCCCATCCACTAACCTTTATCCCCTGCAGAGTTACAGGCTCCAATTCTATACCATTTGTTCCATCCAGAAACCTATTCAGGCTGTCCTCACAGACCTGTCCACTCAATTATTTTGTTCCCAAGCAACTTTTCAACAGCCTAACAGATATTTTGACATTTCAAATAGAAGCATATTGTTTTCAGTTTTGTTTCTTTCAGTTGGGTAGGCGTATTCACTTTGTTCTAACAATGTTTCATCCTTTACTTACTGCTTGCTTGAAAAAAGTCGTAAACAAAATTTTGTAAGTATTTTTTGTTCCTGTTTAATGATTAAGAATTTCTGAAACATTATATGAGGATCATATAAAGAAATGTTAAACATCTTTTTTTAATTGACTTAACCCCATTCAAGGCAGTAAAGCCACTAAGGATTACTAGGTGTGGAAGAATTAGAAAACAGAAACAAGGAAAGGGAACAAAGTAAGAGTAATCAGGAGGACAGTAGATAGTGATTGACATTGCATTTGAATTTTTGCAGATTAAAGTTGGTTGGAAAAGATGAAGAAGGGAGTTCCACAAACAAGAAATGCAAGAAAAAAACTGTTAGCATAGAACTTACGGTTATATCTAGTCAACTCACCTGTAAACTGATGAGATCTCAACACCAGTCTAATACTGGTGCTTAAATTCAAAAAGTCTAGGTACCATAGTTCACTCGAACAATTACCATGAAAGTATTTATAGAAAAGGCAAAGAGAAGCAACCTTACAGAAGTGGGAAAGTGACTGATTTTCTTTGACACAAACAGTTGAACCTTGTAAAGTAGTTTATTTTGGGTATTAAGCAAGTAACCAGGCCTTATAAAAATGTACTTGCAACTGAAAGCACAGTAGCTTCACTTCCAAAGCTAGATTAATCTATTAGCAAAGTAGCAAATTCCATAGACACAACATTTTCACAGGCCCCAGATTTTCAAGTGTACCACATGAAATACTTTTATATCTGGTGAAATCAGCATATTACAATCTGGTAATGACAATGTTTTTGTATCAGGGTAACTACATCTTCAAGTATTAATCATTTCAGGTAACGTTATATCGAGGACATTAAATCTGCTCAAATATCTAATTTAGAATCGTTTACCTCCTATTTTTCTGAGTTCAGTTATTATGTAAAGATGTTAAATATTTACCTGTTTTGTAAATTCTATCAATCACAATGCTTTCTGGTTCATATTTATTTTTAATTTAGGTTAAAGGCTCTGCACCAACTTTGGTCATGTTTGCCATAATTGTCAACAATCTTGTACCAAAAATCAGAATGTTTTCTTTAGCTATTCATTATTAAAGTCTAGAAATACATGTGAAAATTTTCCTAATTGAATTTTCTGATTGTTATATTCCATGCTAATAGGAATATATACTTGACAAACACAGTGGATAGAATAAGTAAAGGTTTATTGTAAAAACCAATACAATAAGAATAAAAGTAACAGTTATGCACTAGGTCATTGCAAGTCAATCCAGTAGTAAGTGCTACTATTGGAAGGTCAGTAGTTCTCATGTAAATCTGAGTCATACTCAACAGATCCCAGCTAGAATATATTTAGCTACCCCCCCACCACGAGGGTTGCATGTTGCACAAAGCCAGATTAATGTGGGTTCTCCAAGCCCGTAGGCGTGGCCAAAAATATTCCCTTTTGAACTTGTATAAATGGGTTCAGGGGCAGTCTACCTCCCCGAACGAGACTCTGCCCATTGGTATAGCTTGAACAGGTCGCAGCTAGGCTTTCTAGTCTGTTGACTTACAGATACTTATAGGCAGTTACTACCTATAGTGTAATCACTCATGGGGGTGACAGGTTATTCCATTACATCACTGATGAATCTTAATTCTTAAGTTAATGATTGAATAAGCTCATGGTGAGTTCTACAACAGTAAAATATCCCAGTAACAAGCATAGTAAATTTTTGAGGACCTCGCATTAAATATTTCCAAATTCTCTAATGAAATCAGCATGCCTTCTCAATCTTTCTGTATGTCTGCACATTTTGACATTAATAGTGGAATTACATTTAAGAAGCCAGCCAGCATTAGTAATGAGATGCTACAGAATCATTATAGGAAATCTCCTATGTAGACTGCATCATAAAAGACAGAGTGAAAAAAAATCAGGCAAGAAACAATCTCATTGGAAGAACTCATGTCTACCGTAAAGAAGAAGAACTTGATATGCTATAACCATGTCATCAGTGCCAATAATCTTTCTACTGCTAGGCTATAAAGTTCCACCTTAGGCAAAAGAAGAAGAGGCAAATGGAGAAAAAAATGGGCTGGCAACATCACTGATTGAACGAGAAGATCATTCAGAGTCTCAGATATTTGCATGCAAATGAGATACATATATATGGAGTTCATCAGTTGTTCAACTGTGCAATGACCCTACAATCACAATACAGTCATGGAACTGATATTACTGGTGGCAGTGGTGATGTTGATGACCCCTAGTCAAATATACTAAATAAAACTAAACCTTACCAAGATATTCACTTTTAAAACATAGTCCTTTATATAAGTCAATGCTTCAAACAGTTCTCATAAACTGAATTCAGATATATACACAAGCAAAACTTTGGGGTCACTTTACATTTCTTTAAAAAACACCTTAAAATGAGATATTTTGGGATTTTTTTTAAAGTAAAAGATAAAATTTCAGTAACTACAGTATATTTTCTTTTATTTTTCAGTTATTCTCCAGTCTCCTTTTACTAGCAAAAAGTTCAAATTTAGATTCATCTGTCCACAATAAATTTTGCTAAATTATGAATATTTTGCATGAGGAATATTATTTCTTTTTACCATTAACCTCTCAGTAGACTTTTTGAGATTACCAAAATTTTAGTTAAATGTTAATACAAGTTCTAAATGTTAACTCAACACTGATTAATGTTGTAAATGAAACTTCTGTCTCTGAAGAAAAAAAACTATTGTGCTATTATGACAAAATTTTTTATAGTTTTTTAATTTGTTTTTAATTTTGAAGTAATTTGCACAAAATGGCAAAATCAGAACAGCTAAGCATTGAAGTGAGGGCACAAACTGAAATTTTATTCAAAGAACTAACTCTAAAATTAAGCAGACAGATGAAATATTTAAAATCTACTCAGTCCACAAAATTAAATCTCTTTTGCAAATTTTAACTGAAACTATAGAAATACCAGCTTACAAATTAACAAAGTTGAATCTGTATAAAATTACTTCCTGGAAGAAAAAGGAACTTTAATATGAAGTTCTTTTTTTAAATTATCCTTTATGAGATATGATAATTCAAAGAACTCAAATACCAAATCCTTGGTAATGATTAAACTAATATTCAATCAGATGTGATGAATAGAGAATTGAGTATTTTCTTTCATCAGATATCATTATTTGGCAAAGAAGTAAAAATAAGAACTACTTACCCACTGGAGGCAGATAGAAATATCTCAATACTTTGAAGCTGCTCTGTCAGCGCAGATCCAAACATGTAACTTTGGATTGAATTAAGGAACAATATTCAAAAAAAAACAAATAATGTAACAAATTATTAACAAAGAGTATGTCAGTATTTCTTCCATTCTTTGTTTATAAACTGATGCAGATGAATGAAATAAGAAATAAATTATCTAAAATGGTCCTTTTTTTTTACTTTTTTTTTATCCACAAACAAATGTCAATTGAATAATTGAATGCTGGATCTTTTTTTTTATTCATCCCAAAATAAAAAGAATTTATATTTACTAAAATTCACACCAAATTCTCAAAGAATGAGGTCCTTCCATTGCATCCCAGTTGGGTTGACCTTTACAAATACCCCAAATGTGGGCAATTCGGGCATGCAATTTCTAAGTGTGGGGTTTACGTTTACACTCACCTTGATAAACAAGACAAAAAAAGAAAATATTTTCCTTTTTTTTTTAAATTGTAAAAAATTCCTTGTAAGTACCTCAAATATCACCCACATTTATTAAATGTGAATAATTACCTGACTTTTGGTAATTTTTATACTGAGGGTTGAAATTGTTGAGAGGCAAGCCAAATAAATTTTGATTTAAACTTTATAATTTCAAAAGAGTACCAAAATTTTAATAAAAAAATTTCTTGGGGTGAATTAATATTTGCGATCAGTAACTTTACATTATTTGGGATGAATTAACAGAAAAGATCTGAAATGCTCATTAATTATATTTAACTAGAGGTTCATATAAGACTCATGTCACAGGTAGTATTTATTTACCATATATCTTAAAACTTTTATTACTTAAATAGTGAAATTTCAAATTGTAAGAACAAATAGAAATAAAAATGAAACAATGATTCTGAATTACTTACAAGCGCTGACTACATTTGAACCCTGTATGCAATGAGCAAAGTTTCAGTTTATCATATCCTGATCCACTGACTTTACTCCTATTCCTGCAAAACTCACTGCTTATCTTCAGGCATTGTCTGAACTAAATATTTCTGATGAAAGATACATCAAGAAGAAAGGGATTGTCAGGAGTCAGGAATTAAAGTAAGTCTAACAACTAAATGGATTACATAATTTTCTAAAACCATCATGAACTTAGTAAACCAGTAAATCTTCATAGAAAGATATTTATTTCCTGATAATCAGGTTGAATTTATCAGAAAAGGATTTTTATAATTGTTCTATTAAGATATGAAACTTGACATGAATAGAGATTAATTATAATTCCTTTGTGATCTACAGCAATAAATGTTGTCTGACACCATCCACAAGTGGTATTAAATATTCACTATTAGAGACCAAGTATTTTGACCAAATTTATTAGAAATGAATATACAAAGAGAGAAGGGAAAATTAAATTATATAAAATGATTCAAGTTTGATATTTCTGATATTCCAAAATGCTAATTTTTAACTTTCTTTTTCTTTACTGATTGTGTCTTTCTTAGAATGTTCATAAAGGGAATTCCTTAACTTACACACTGCTCACAATATATTTCATGCCATCAACAAGGCAAAAACAGATCACTGTTGGGCAGGAAGTAGCATTATCGAGCTCTGCTAAATTTTAACTTAAAATTTGTTTTAATAAGTTTCTGTACACAATCTGTATGAATAAGAAAAACATGGTTGCCAATGATTAGGAATTAGTGAAGGCATTACAAACAAGAATAATGCTATTATATGTATACTAATGAACCTGTACTGTGAAAAATGGTGACAATATCTGAGTACTTATAAGCAGGCAGTTTGGATTTAAAGCTCCAAGTTCACAACAAAGAAATTTCCTACAGGACAATAGCCAAGTGGATTATGGTATTGGTTTGTGAATTTGGTGACATAGTAATTGTGAGTTCAATCCCTGGGTTTGTCAGTGTGTCCTTAGACATGGAAACAGGTAAGAAATAGCTGAGCAGTACTAAAAATAAGAACTATATGAGATATCCATAGAAATGGACAGTGGAACAAGAACAGCCTACCTGTGTAGTATAAATAAAGTGTTCAGTTCATAAATCCCTGTAGGTTACCCAGATTGAAATACACTGATGAAGGCTGGAGAACACAATGACCGAAACATTGTGATGATAACAATAAAGAGAATGACAATAGCCATCTATTTTCATATTATTTTATGTTATCTTAACATTAATTCATGATACTTTTTTTTAAATAATTATTTACATTATGCCACTTTCCATATAAATCTATTTGTTGGATTCTAAAAATGTAAACAAAACCAAAATAAGATTGTTTATTTTCCACTGAATTGGTCAACATTTAACCACAAATAACACAAATTCTGCTGATTTTATAATCATAATTTTTATGTGAATATTAATCAGCATTCAAAGAGCTTTCTAAAGATATACAACTTGACCTTATTGGGAGATATGAAAATGTTAGCATGAAGTGGCAGATACCAAAATCTGGCATTATGAATTTGGCCCAACTCAGTAAAACCCTTGTAACTCATGGCACAGTCAAAAGTCCACCACAAAATTTTGTAAGTATCTTGCCATAAAGCAGACAAATTTGTTGTCAAATTTTAAAAAAAAGATTAAAGATATGGTTTTTGAGAAATTAATGGTCAAATGTTAAGGTCAAGGTCAAATTATCCTATTTGACCTTCAAACAAAAAATAAATGGATCACCTATTAAATCTATGCAAGTACTTTAAAATGGTATACAATTTAGGTTTGTGGATGAAAAAGCAACTGAGATATTGGTATTTAAACTTTGTAACTATTTTCCAAAATTTCCCTTCTTGGCGAAGGTCAAAGTGTTATATCTTGGGAACACTTTAGCCTAGAAATGTAAAATAGGTACCATTCAATTTCTATCATGAATCTCTATAAGTGTACCAAATTTGAAAAAAATCTGTCCTGCTGATGATCAGACCATTGTCGATTTGACATGGAATTTGTTATCTTTTCTGTATAAATAATCTAATATTTTTATCTTTACACCAAACTCGCATTTTGAATAATTAAATTAAAATATATCCAAACAAAGTGAACACAAAACAATATGAATAAAATAAAACGCAACACATTTTTCGCAACCCGATCTCTCCTACTTAATATTTTACGCTAACCCGTGGTATGCTCGCTTATTAACACCGAGTAATACCTTCTGTTACCATAACAACGAACGATATCATTATTAAGAAGAGGAATTGAAGATGTGTGGCCGATAAATATGTAAAGTTTTCTTTTTTTTGCGATAGAACAGATTGCATTTGCTGATTTGAATTTAAGTTTATGTATGGGAAGTAACTTTGCATTGATATAAAATATGGTTAACTCCCTTGGATCAGCTACACAAAAAAATGATAACCTGATAATTTACAGCTCTTGTTATATTGATAATGGATTGAATTGAAAACTTTTTCACTATAATGTGCCTTGTAATTTACTTTTGTCATTTTCAATAGCTGTTTTAGGTTTACAGCAGTCACAGGCAACCTTTTTTCGAGCAGTGGGTCGTATGATCCATGGCTCATCACAAGATTAAAAAGATTCAAAATCATTTTTTGTAGTAGGTACTTCAGCTATTTTCCCTAGAGAAGACCATATGTGTAAGCATAAACCTTTGGAATGGGAAAAAGTTTGTTTTCTTCAGAGGAAAGATTTTTTTTATAATTAAAAAATTTAAGCCTTGGTATGATGACAGTGATTAGCACATAGCTGCATGTGATTTATTTCTAATTTATTCATTTGAAAATAAAAACATATATTTCTTCTTTACAATAAAAATTATTATGAATGTTTCCTGTTTAAAAAACAAAAGATGTTTACACATATGATCTTCCATAACGAAAATTGCCAACTGTTTAAAATGATGAAAACATTTTCACTGAAAGTTTACAAAATTCAAAAAACATTGTACTTAATCATTGTCTATGTATGTGATTATGTATGAGAGAGTGTGAGTGAACAAGTGAGAAGGAAACAAAACAAAATTTTTTAAGTGTGCCATTCAAAAAGGTCAAATGGGCCACATATTAGCAAGCAGTTTGGCTATGACTGGACAAGAATGCTTGAACAAAACCACATGCCAAATGCTAAGAGAAATATCAGTCTATTTGTATGTCCCTCTCTTATGAGAAAAAAATTAATCAAATGCATAACAGAATTTTATTATTGTTATAAAATAAAATACGACATATCTTGGCTGATTTGCAGGCAAATAAACTAACATACACAAGAGCGAGAGCCGGATGTGAACGGGACAAGGCCCCGTCACAAAATGACCATTATCGTTGTTTGCACATAGGCCTGACGCATGAGTTCTGGTCGAAAAATAAAATAATATTTTAAAGTGTTTCTATTTTTCAATCAATAAAAATGCTTCCCTCCTAATTATACTCGCATTGTTTTTCGAGCCTGTTAAGCCATAAAAAATGCCATAAAAGGGTCACATGGGGAAGTACTAGCAGTCAACAGGAGGCCAGGGAAGAGATCTGTCACGGTCAGTCTGGGCAGTCAGCAGGAGGAGCGTCATGCCAACCAGTGAGAACTACTATGAGAGATCAACCCAGATTGGCAGCTGGCTTATGAACTATACCACAAGGTAGCTGTCCCAAACCCACATGTTCCTATTGAAATAAATCACGTAAATCTATTTCTGCTGTTGTCGAATTTCTTTCTTGCAACCATACGCTTGTCTATAACATTATGGACACAAACAAAAAGATTTATTAAAAAATTAAAGAGAAAAACGTATTGTTATAAATAATCAAGAATGGTCTCCCCTTGTTTTGTTACTCTCCTCTTTAAGAGAACTTTTTCTGTTTACTGGAACTATAAAAGGACACAATATATGCGAACCTTGTATTCTCATTTGAATAAAGCTTTCTTCAAGCTTACACCAGCATACTTTTGTCATTACACGCATATCCAGTTTTAGTCATATTTTAATTCCTAACTTTTCTACTGGGGCTTATATTCATCTGTGTCTTCTTTTTTCTATTTGTTTATAGCAAAAGTTTAAAGGATTTTCATTTACCTAAATCCTTGT